CTAATAATACTGAAGAACTTTTTTTCCAGCTCATGCAGAAAGCTGGATGCAAGTTCATTATTCCACTAAAGGGAAAGGAGAATGTGAGAGGCTGAAATTCAGGAGGACCTTTTACTTTACTGTAATGCACTTTTTAAACATTCTAAAGTCATTGGAATAGACTTCATTAACTTACTGACAGGGTACAAAAAAGAAGACTAGAAAGACAATAAACAGAGAGAGACAGGAGATTAGTGAAATGTTTCACATGCAAAACTTAAACAGCATTGATGCATCTGTCATCCCAGTCCTTCCCTAACCTTTAATGGCACCATTTTCAGCAGGAGGATTTTATATTTACATAATGCTTCCTCTGTAAAATGCTAGCAAAGTGCTACAACTAAGTGGAAAAGCAGACAGATAGCTTTTGAGATTGACCAAGAGGAAGGTGTCTTCTGCAGAAGTCAGAAGAATAGGCAGGCATACCTAGAATACATTATAGCCCTTTTTTTTCAGTTTGTCTGATTATATCCTTCTGTCATTTAAAAGTATTAGCCCACTCATCAAGTTCAGAGCTTGCAATCCTGCCTCTTACACCTGCCATTTTCTGGTTTCACACAAATGCCAAAGTCATAAAGATGGAGCCCGTAAAGGAGCGGAAAAAAACCCACAAACCAAAAAACAAAAACGAAACGAAACAAAACAAAACAAAACAAAAAAAACCAACCACACCAAAACCTTTCAAGCCAAAAAAACTTGTTGCCAAGGCAAAGCCCAGTCCAGATGTGTTGGTAATTTCACACTTGCCTGTATGAAAAAATGAGTACAGAAAAAATTTCCATCTCTTGCCTTCCATTCTGCCTCGATGAGTAACACAGTCTTTCCACAGCTTAAAAACAGAGGCCTCAAACCACCTCCATATACATCCATGGCAGTAATCAGATATTTTTTTCCAAACTTCAGTTCTGGACAGAGATGAAAGAAGAGTGAAAAGGCCTTTTCCAGTGACATATTTCAATATGTTTTACAGTCACAAGAAAGCAGGTCAATTAAGACAGTTCCTGAAGTGATAATAGCTGAGGCAGATTTACTGCATTGCTCTTTGGAGTCCAGCAAGGCTTTGTATCATATTTAAGGAAGACATCTTACCAAAGCTGTAATTCCATTGCACTGAGATATACATACTTATCACAGGCACACTGAGTGAAAGCCTCAAAAGTAAGCACAGACAAATGATCTATTTTTTTCACTCTGAGTGAACAAATTATCCACCATAGGGACTTTAGCAGAACTCACCACAGCACAAAGTAGCCAATTGGGCATTGTGACCAAAATTTTGAAAAGCAAATAGAGACAGAGCGCCCACTTTGTGATATTTTACAGTGATCTCTGATTACCAAAGAGCAGAGCAACAACCTCTCTTAATTAGCCTGAGTTTGGCACCTTAAATGGATAGTGATTCCAAAAAACCAAAGCAAAGGTCACAGAAAATTCCACCTCTACAGAGTGAATTTGCCTTGGACCTTTGTGAACCTCTCCTGATGCTGATCAAGCACTTCTTTAGGGCCAACATCCTATAAAGTGGTGTGACACTCCCATCTGCAGAATCGTAAGGGTGGTACAGCAAAACCAATACTTTGCACTGTAGAGTTGTAGCAACAGAGAAACACCAACATTCCTTATGTCTTTCAATCTGAAATAAAACTGAAATGGTTTTGCCCACATAACTCATAGCTGGTCCTGTATCCAAATGCCTTAGAAAAATTGGCTGGCTTTGAAAGAGATTTTTTCTGGCTTCCTTCCAGCCTGGTCTCAAAGCTACCTCCATAAGACACAAGCTTCCAGTGTAACAGAGAGGTAAAAAAAAAAGATACTCAATAATTGCATGTCTCAATCCTGAGACATTTTCCACTGTTGCAGGTGTCGATAGAACATCTAGTCAAAACTTACTTCAACTCATACTTTTTATTCTTCCCCAAAAGAAGAAGAAGCCAAAAGAGCAGAATTTTTTTAATTCCTCATCCTTCCCTCCCCTAAATTAATCTCTTGCATGCTTCCAAAATGTGTAATCACATGGTAGAAAACATTTTTCCCTTTTCTGAGCAAGCAATGAACACAGTAAAATCTATTCTTCTTGATGAAAATGATGCAGAGATACACTCAACTTACTTTTGTCACTTGACAGAAATGTTCTATTTTCCTTTTTTTTCTTTTTTTTTTTTTTTTTCCAGGGGAGGAAAAATTCTTATGTCAGCCCTGGGACATGAAGTCAAAATTACAAGTGCACAAATTATCCATGTCACTGCACCATTTCTGGGTAAGGCAGCCTCTCTGGAAACAATAGCTGGGGCTTGAGGTATCCACAGGGAAAACAGAACATCGTGCTTGATTTAATGCCCTTCTCTTGGGATTTACTCTTGGCAAAGTGCCTGTGTGGTTTATGTCAGAAGGGATACATGATTTGCATGTGGATCCAATGCTCACTGTGAGGTAATTCTTTACTGCTGATGGAGCATAAAAGGACTGTGCATTCCATGAATTAAAAAAAGCAAAAAAAAAAAACAACCTAAAAAACACCTGAGAACCATTCTCCATCAGGAGAAAACCAAAGGCCTGACAGGCTCTGGTAGGAGAGGGAGAAAGATAAATACCCACATAATTCTCCAACAAATCCAAAAGCAGTGATAAGAAGAAATTAGTATTAGGTTCTATAATCGGATCATGGCAGAACAGTGTCAGTGCATGAAAATCTGCAAAGAAGAATATGAAACACATTTTTGAGTCCTTTTTTTGACCTTTTTTTGCTCTTTGCATCATTTTAAAAGCAGACACTACTTTTTCCAGGTGTGAGATAATTAATAGTAGTAATTTAGATGGACAAATAACACTTTGAATAGCATGCTTAGCTGGAATCAGATCATTACCCATCAGAAATTTTCCATGATCCTGTGCTTTAAAAGACAAACCAAAGCAACAAAAACACAAACAAACAAACAAAACCCAACAAAAAAAAGGAACAACAACAACAACTAAAACAAAACACCAACCAACTTAACTTGAGTTTGAAAAGGAAAGAGATGGATTCAGATACAATTCAAGAGGAAATGAAGGACTGTATTTCAGAACTGACCTGGAAGTTGCAAAGCATGGGCAGACTGTGGTCCAGCTGGTCATCTGCTACATGCATACTTCCTACAGCTAAAGGTAAGCCTGAAGAATCAAGCCTTCTGATATATGCTGCTGCAAAACCATAAGCAATTTTAAAAGCATCCAGAGGTGAGCATTTCATTCTAGAAAGCAGAGGGGGGGGTGGATAAAGAGAGAAAAAAATAGCCAGTTTTTAAACACCTTTTTGATACCTTTCTGTGCATTTGTATAACATCTAACATAGTGGGATCCTGATGTGATTGGGCTTTGTCCATGACACTGTAGGATCAATATCAGGCTTACTGAAATTAGTAAACTCATAATTAATTGAAGGGGCTTTGCCTCAAGGCAGCGAACAATTTCTGGAGCCTGTTTTTCTTCAAATTCTAACCTTTGTTTTCTGTACAAATACTGCCTTCTTGCTATTCATATGTCTTATGCAGAGACAGGCCAGACAGACAGACATTGGTGAAGGAAAGCAGGAGTAAAGCAGTGTTTGTTTGGTAGCAAAGCAGCATTCCTTGCAGCACTCTCCCAAGGACTTGTAAAATCTAACTATCAACAAATAAAACTAATCTCAGAGAAGAGAGGAGAGAAGAGAGAATACTGGAAGGGTTTTCACTGGTATCTAACCAGCATCCAAACACTTGCTGTGAGTTCTGTCAGGAAATTCTGCATCTTTAGCAAATATAATGTGTGTAGTTATTTGCAAATTAATTCTGACTGTTTCTTCCTGCCATGCAACTCTTCATAATTTATTCTCATCTCCCTTTTTCTCTTCCTCTACAACTTGCATTACATTTTGGAAATGTACCCCATGTTTGAGAAACAGGATTTAATATCATCCTAATCAGCTCCTAATTTTTTGGGGAGGAGGAAAAAGAAACAGAAATTAATATTATTTCATTTGCTTCCATATGCCAACATGTTAGAAGGGTGTGATAAAACTGGGATCCATATTCAGAAAATTTTGATTTTCACGATACAGGAATTCTGTGGAGCAAAGGAAGGGTTTTCTCTCTGAACAGTCTCTTCCCTGTACACAAATAATTTTGGTTTCCAGGCACCTTTTCTAGCCTTCTGTATCTGTTGCCTTCTTCCTAAACAGAAAAAGCCAGTTATTATTAGAGAGAACACTTATTCCTGTTTGTCTCTCGACCGTTTCCTATCTTTTTGTGCTGGACACAGCTCAGTGTGCACAGAAGCAATGAATACAACATTGAATGACACATCTGAAGATACTGACATTATTTATATTTGACAGTGGGGGGGAAACAAAAACAGGACTTATGCGAACCTCTGCAGATATTGATTAGACTGTTTCAAAAATAATGGAAAGAGTTGCTGTTGATAAGCATCAGTGGAGAATGTCTGAAAAATCTGCCTTTAGTGCAGTCAGGCAGCTGAGCTTTTATAGTCAGCATTTCCTCACTGTGCCCCTGTCTTAGAGTCACAGAAGAGATCCCTACAATAATCAAGAAATACAAACCTACACAGTTTATAAATAAAAATCTGCAAACCGTAAGTGAATACAAGGATGTAATTCAGTCTAGGATTTCTGCAGCTGTTAATAAATCACTCAAGCTGCACTCTGGCAGCTTATGACATCAGCAGATCCCCTCAAGTGAATTACAGCCATTAATTTACACAGAGCAGGCCATCTATCGTCTATTATTGACCATCTGCTACTAAGAATATGTACATTTTTGATAAATTATTAAGATTTTGGCGGGAAACATCTTTAATTTTATTCCTACATATATTCATCTGGGATGTTCAACTTTGGGGTTGTAACTGAAGCCAACTTGTGACACCAGCCAGAGGTGATTACACCTTGACTGTCACAGTCTACCTCACAGCAGCTTTATAGAGGCATGGTGGATCGTGCTGAAGGCCCTGCTCCTGCACAGAGGGAAGGGAACAATCCTCTCAAAGGTGTCACAGGAGGGTATGTTCTCACCCAGCATACAAAGGAAACAAATTCTCATGTGACCATGCCAAGAGGAAAGTGTCGTTCACAATGTGGAGCTTTGCATATGATCATTTCTTCCCAATAATGAAAATAAGGGCTACAGAGCATCTCCTTGCTGTGCACAGAAGATAAAACATCACCATGAATGCAAGACCAAACTCATTACAGCTGATGATTTACTTTGGCTCCTTCCTTGTATTTCTCTCTGTTTCCTTGTGGTTCACTCAGTGATATTGCTAGGCTTGGAAAACTGGCATAACTGGAAGTAAGGGCTTTGTCACAGTATTTCCAGTCTAAAATTCCAAAATAAGTTCTATATAAATCACAGCACAAGTCACAGTGTGCTTTAAAACTTCTGTGGCATGAAGGTGCCTTATAGCCTGGCAGGCCTGCTAAAGAGCCAGAACATGTATGACAACCCTGCTTTGACACTGGCACAGAAACACTCCCAGACATCTGTTTCAGAACTGCTTACGCTTGGTCTGCGTAAAAGCACTACATAATAAAAGAAAAAATACCCAAATGGCTGAGTAGAACTGTCAGGCAGGTGATGGACTTTTCAATTGTAGTTATATGTTTGTAGATCTCCAAATTACCCACAGTATTTAGCTCAGATTTGCGAATAAAGTAAGAGTGGACACACAGGCACAAAACATCATTTGCTCAGCTAAAGCTGTATCTTTTTCAGCTTAAGCTGGATTTGGCTTCATATCAATGGAAAGGTTTTGTTGCAGAGGTGGTCTGGAACAGGGAGGCTTTGGGCTGGATTCTGGCTCTGCAGCCATGAGCAGGAATCTGGACCGACACAAAGCCCCAGCGACTGCAACGCACCAGCAAGTTCTACATGTAACTCAAGTCCAAAGTTCACCTTTTGCTTCTTAAAAGACATGGTTTGTACAAAACCCCTCACCACATAAATATTTTAATGACTACAATTTTTCAGTAACAATTGGATGACCAAAAATGTTTGCGATATTAGGATTGTACTGTCATAGGACATGGGATGTTGAAAATGTCAAAACTATTCCCAAAGTGGGAACATCTACAAAATCTGCAAAAAGAAATTTTTTTATAACTGTAATAATTTAGGAAGGCTACTTTGGGAACAAAGACTAATGATTCTTGCCAATGTACACTGAAATAAACTTACCCATTGTCCTGTGCATGCTCAAAATCTTTCTGTCTAATAGTACCAGAAAAAAACTCTCCAGCAGAAGTCACAAAATCACTACAGACAACTTGAGTAACATGTGACTGACTGGAATTTTTACACCTTTAACAAATAATGCCATCATGACCCCCCCTTAGAGAATTAAGTAGAAAACAATAAAGGTTTATTATCTGAGATTTTTCACATTATGGTGAGGGTTTAGGCTGATGCAGTAGCATTAATTTAGAAAGTGAAACCAATGTTGAAACTACCTAAGGTTTGTTCATTATAAAAAACACAATAAATTTCCAAAATTACATTTAGATGGAGATACTTGACATGTATCTGCTGGTTTCCAGAAAAAAAACAATGGGCACATGTTTAACATAGTAAATTTATTCTTGAAGCATCCTCTTTGACCATGGTTTGACCACCCAACTTCCTTATTTTCAAAAACATTGTTTTATTGAACCAAAAGCCTATAATGGAAGAGTGCTATAACATAGAAGAAATAACAAACCCAACTGTAATTAAACTGGAAACAGTGTTTATTTTTTTATTTATTTAACTTTATAACTTTTACCAGCATAGCAGAGGAAATAAATCTTAAACTAACGAATTCTGAAAAAAAACGTATCATCCTTTCAGATGTAGCCAGGGCTTTGTTACCAGATCACCTGCTGGACTCTATCAAAGGGATATAAATGGTTTTTTTTAAATGTGTGCTGCTTCAACCACATTAAGACTCACCAACCATTGTTGGAGCTATGAAAAATTCTCCTTGCTGTAGGGACTGAACTCAGCATCTCCTAGTTTAGCAGTATCTAACCTTCCAAGATGACTGTAGCCATTCCCATAAATATACAGAGCAACCTGGTACACTATAAAACAATATACACAAGTTGTTACTGATATTATCACAGTGTCACTCCTCGTGATGCTTCTGACAGTCCACTCCAGCTTGAATTAAATCTTTCAGAGGTTTATAATTTATCTATAGAAGCCTGTGTTAATCTGGTTTAACAACTGGGCAGGCAAAATCTCAGCTTCAGAGGAAATTTCTTGTTATGAAATTATAGTAAAATCAATTTCCCTAGCTATTTAGCTTGTTGAGACACACGCCCTTTCCAATATCATCTCACTTGTGATATTAAAGCAAAATTAAACACCGTCACATGCAAAATTATATTTTATTGAAAATCTTTAGCATCCCATTATGAACAAAACTGAGGATTTGGTACTCCTGGTGAGTAGCTGTTGACAGGAGAGGTGTTACACGGCAAATCCATTCCTCTTCCACAGACGTTTCTGGTTACTTTAGACCAAGTGCAAACAATCTGAAAGCTTTAGGAAACGTATAAAAATAAAGCTGGTATTTGCGAACAGTCCATTCTGTTATAAGCATATCCAAAATACAGAAGAGATAACATGAAACATTAAGCCCGTCGTAAAATTCCTGAACGTCCAGCTTTCCTGAATTCCGAGCTTTCCAATCCCTGTGAGCGCCAAAGCGCTCAGCAGCTACCGCACTGAAAAGCCTTTTTCCCCACCAACGCGTTTAGCTCAGCCTGTTCCTGAACTAGGGCGGTATCGCGACCGCCCCTCCCCGCCCCGCTGTCGCGACAGGGCGCGACAGCCACGCACCGCCTTTGTTCGGGGCCCGGCGGCGGCGCTGCCCCGCCCCGCCGCTGGGGGGAGCCCGCGGCACCGCCCCGCCGTGAGGGGCGCGGGCACCGGGCAGTGCCGCTGCCCCCGGGGCTGCCCCGGGAGGGGACGGAGGGAGGTGCCGCCCCAGCCCCTCCGGCCCGCGGGGGCCATTTTTAAATGCCTCTGTCAGGCAGCGGCGCCGGGCGAGCAGGTGCCGGAGTCGCTGAGGTTGCGGTGCCCGCTGCCCGCTCAGGCAAGGCAGGACGCGCTGTCCCCTCACAGACCCCCGGGACAGATGGGTAAGGGGCTCCGGGAGGCGGCACAGCCACAAGCACCGCAGCCCCATCCCGGCAGTCGCCCCGCGGCAGGGAGTCCCCCGCGTTTAAAGGGCAGCTCCGCGGAGGGATCCCGCGGCCGGCACTTGTTCCCGCACACACGACCGTGCGAGGCGACCCGGGCCTCGTTCTCCTTCCCTCCCTCCCTCAGCGGGATCCCTCCGCCACGCAGGGCGGACATGGGCCCCGCGGCCGCCGCCGTCCCCGCTCCGCGGCCGGACGCGCTGCCTCGGCTGCCCCCGCGCCGCCCGCGGTGAGGCGGCGGCGGCGGCGGCGGGAGGAGGCGGTGGCGGCAGGAGCGGCGCGGCTGGGGGCGGGTGGTGTTTCCCTGCGAGAGGTGTATCCTTCCGCGGCGGCGGGAGTGCGGCTAAGACGGGTGTCCGCGGTGTCCCTCCGCCGCCGGGAGCGCAGGGGCACTCGGCGTCTCCCCGGACGGGGCGAGGAGGTCGCGGGATCCGCTGGGAGGAACAAGAAGAAACTTCGGGGCGCGGCGACCGGCGCGACGCCCGCCTGGCTCGGCAGCGCGGCGGAACGAGGGCTCCCCGCAGGGAAGGAGAAGAAGGAGGAGGAAGCGGCGGCCGGTCCTCGCCGCCACCCCGCGGGGTCTCTGCGGGGGAGCCCGAGGGACTCTTTCTCGCGGGGCGCGGCGGAGGGATCTCCAGACGGCTCTCCCCGCCGCCTCCCCCCGGTGCCGCTAGCCCCTCGGCGCCGCCATCTTGGATTTTAATCCGCCATTTTTTTCCTCCCCCCACTCGGAATTATTTTTTATCACTATC